AGACACCGCCTGGGCTCCTGGAGTGCACGGTGGCCTGCTGCCCCCAAAGGGTCAGCTGCGGGCAGTGGGCGGTGGGCAGGTGCCCTGGGACGGTGGGGAGGTCTCAAGTCCCGGTGATCAGAATTGGGGCATGTCGGACCCCGGTCCTCACTCCCCAGGCTACGTGGGCCAGGCACGTGTCCCCAAGGGTCCCACAAGGCTCGGAGGTCCCTGACTTCACCCCATCAGGTCACACAGGAAACTGAAGGATCAGTGTGAGTGTCTAAGGGTGCACATTTTCGGGGTGATTTCACCAAAGAGGGCCCCAGATGGCGACGGTGCATCCCTGCAACAGTTGGACTGGCAGGCTGAAATAAACTCAGGTCAATTTCACAAGCCCTGATGCAAATTCCCAGCAAAGATACTACAAGGTGGCCCTGCCGGCTGGAAGTTGACCCGAAACCCCAAACCTGATTTTTCTGCCCAGCGTTACGGCTACTCAGGGCTCCTGTGAAGGTGACCCTACCACGTGCCAGCTGCCCTGGGGCCTGGTCACTGGGCTTTGGATTCTCGGGCTGGTCCCTAAGACGTCCCCTTGGAAGGGGAGGGGGAGGCTCAGGGGACGGTGGGAGGGGACCTCGGGGTGCTTGCAGCTCTGGCCACGATGCCCTTCACTGAAGCCGAGCACCTCCACCCCACCGCCCCAGCACACAGCAAGTGCCGGCCCCAAACTTTCCTCTTTTGCTTAATGTGGAGGACAGGCATTGAGCCGTGGAGAGCACCCAGAAGGCCTTCCTGGCGGCTGTCTGGGAACTTGTGAGAACAGGGTGCATGAGACCAGGTTGCGTGCTGTCAGGTGACCTAACCTCAGATCAAAGGAAACACGCGGGCAGTGCCCCGCTCTCTGACCGGGCTGGCCGGACCTGGATCCTGGGCTGGGAGGGGTGAGTGAGGGGACGAGGCTCTGCGGGCAGGGCCCAGCCACCGAGTGACCCGCAGAGCCAGCCAGCTGGGGCGGAGGCATGGCCCCCGGGGGATGGCTGCCTGCCCCCGATTCTGCCCCCAGCTGGTCTCCCTTCTGAGAGAGCTGCTGCCAGCCCCCAGGTCCCATTGCTCTAGGGCTGCCCTTAGGAGCGGGGACGGAGTGTCCCCTTTCCCTGTGTGGTCACAACAAGACTTGTGTGCACACACACACGGACCATGTACCGCCATACACACATACGCAATACATGTGTGCACCGTATCCTCCACAACCTGCCCACACACCATACCGCGCACACATGCACCCAGGGCTGTGCCCCGTGCACGGCCAGCCCTCAGCCTTCCTGGCCTGCCCCCAGCGCGGCACCTGGCGGAGGAGGGCGGGCGCTGACAGCCCTGGGACATCCTGTGGCGCTGGAGCCCCCACTGAGGCAGGATCAGCTCAGTCTGTCCTGCCCCATGAGACTGGCTGCGACTTGTCCCCCGTGCCGGCTAACTGGAGCGACCATCCGACAGCCCACGGCGGCAGAGATGGAGTCAAGTCAGAGCTGGAGGATGCCCCTCGGCCTCTGTCCTGGAGCGGTGCCCAAGCTTGGGGTCCTCAGTGCCCCCTGCCCCCGAGGGAGGGAGAGGAGTTGGCTAAAACGCAGAGTTCTGGGAGGGTGGGCCTTGCCGCAGAACAGATCACCCCCTGCCACCTGCCCTGCCCTCGTCCCCTAGCTTTCTTCATCTCACTCATCCCCCTGCTGACCCTGGGCCCCAAGAAGGCCGGCCTCGCGCACATGGCTCTACGGCCGGGGCGGAGCAGTGCCCGGCGCACGGCGGGTGCTCAGGGGGACGTGGGGAGTGAATGGGTGAGTGGGCAACTCAGCCGTGGGGCTGGAGGTGGCCGCCAGCCAGGAAACCTCTGGAGGCGCAGCCCCAGCCTGGACCCTGACCTCTTGGGGGCCACACAGCCCTCCCTCCCCGGCCTCAGTTTCCCCCTGTGTTCGTGACGACCTCCGGGCTCCTCCCACGGCTGGCCTGGCATGGGTCTGGGGTGCCGAGGGGTCTTGGCAGAGTGCTGCTGAAGGAAGGTGAGTGTGGTGCTTCCAGAATATCCTGAGGCCCGGAGACAGCCCATGGGCCTGAAAAGCAGGAAGGCGGCCCCCCGGTCCACGCACGTCCAGGTAGATCCATCTGCCTGTGCGTCCAGGACCCCAGGGTGTGACAGGAGCATCCCGAGTGACCGAGGGGCAGGTCCTGGGGACGGAGGGGGCTTTCCGGGGGCGGGGGCCTGGAGGGCAGCCGGGGAGCCAGTGACTGGGTCAGGCCCACTTCCCACCTTTGAGCAGAGGCCCTGGAGGCCCTTCGGCTTGTGCTTCCTACTCCTGTGTGTTGGCCCTGCCCCCCCGACCCCCCGCCAGCCCTCTGCCCTCATCCTGGGCCCTTCCTCACTGGAGCCCCAGCCCCACTTCGCTGCACCTGGCTTCACTCCCCCAACCCAGCTCTCCCATCCTCCCCCAGGCCCCCCCACCAGCTCCTTTGAGCTTTCAGGGAACTTGCAGCGACCCCTTGTTGTCTGGCCTCCCATTCATTGCAGCGTCCCTGTGCCAGGGCCAGGACCCCCAGAGCTGGCTCCTGCACGGCTCAGCCCCTGAACCCCCAGGTGCTTGGGCGGCTACTTATCATCATTTTTAAAATACAGAGACTTCCACAAAAGTAAAGCACATGGTGTCAAGACTGTACCCGCCAGCTGGCTCAACAATGACCAATTCGGAGCAGGTCGGCTTAATCTCCACCCCAGCCACTGCCCCTCCCTGCTGATTCTTTCCAAGCAATTCCCCACAGTCGCACCATCCATCCGGAAACACTTCAGTACATACCTACGGCACGTGCGGCCTCTTGTTACCCTGCAGTTCAGTGCGTACAGAGAAGGCAGGACAAATGCTTGACTCTGTCCTTTTTCAATTTATTTTACTCCTTTTCAGAATAATGAGCCCTAGCCTCCGACAATGGGCCAGTGAAGACTTTTCAGTATCATTTTGAATGAACGGATAAAGATATTTGGTACGTTCTAATCCACACTTCTTTTTGGATGCAAGAACTTTTCAGCGGACAGAGCTAGAAAGTATTCTTGTTTTAAGAAAACAGCGGAGGAGTTTATGCTAATATTCCCAATTCAAATTTAAGGATTGATTTGCCCTTTGATTTTATATTTGTATCTCTTTTCTCTTGTCCTGAAAATCCAGGTTCCTAAGGAATTTAACATGATATGTATATATACGTGACACATATTACATGTATGTATCATTTCAAGGCAACAATACCGATATCAATCCTAATGATATGACTCTTTGGGTTCCTTTTGTCCTCTGAGTGTTAGTGATAATATTGATAACATTGTGAGCTGTACCAAAGCACGGTTCAGCTAACTGAGGGACGTCCCGGCTGTTTCTAACCTTTTGCTAATACAAATAATGTCGTAACAAGTAGTCTTATGTGTATCTTATCTTCTATATTCCCCACATATCTTTGGGCCACTTCCTGGAAGTGGAACTAACAAGCCAGGCTAAATGCTACGAGTGCTTTTCCTAATGCCACCAGGACCCCCTCCCCACTGACGATGTGCCAAGAACACCTGCTTTCCCTCGGCCCTGCCCATGGAAACTGCGGTCCAACGTCTGGATTTTCGCCAATCAGATAGGTGAGCAATGGTCTCTCAGTGTACTTTCAAATTTGCATTTTTCTTGTTGAGCATTTTTTCCTAAGTGTAAAGATCATGAATCCCTTGACCCGTGAGCTGTTCATGCCTTTCGCCCGCTTGTCCGCAGGGTCGTCTATCATTTTCTTCTCAGTTTTAGATGTTCTTTATGTACCAGTGCTATTAATCCTTTGCCCCTGCAAATTCTTGTTCCAGTTTGTCACTTGTCTGTTTTGTTGATTTCAGCTATTGTCTCTGGATTTCAGCCACAGCTGGAGACGTTCTCCCTACCTAGAGTTTGTTGAGAAACTCACCCATACTTTCTTGTAGAACCTATGTGGCTTCATTTCAGCGTTTACACTGAAGCCTCTGATCCACTCGAAATTTACTCTTGTGTGTTGTGTGCAAGATGGATCAACGCTTTCCTTCTTTCTCTTTGACGCTCCAGTTGTGTGTCGGCACTGCCTACTAAAAGTTCTTCTTCCTCCTGCTGACTGGGGTGTGGATGTGCCGACACTTCATTCACGTGTGCCTTCGTTCAGAAAGTATCGACTGAATGCCTGCAGGTGCCCTGGCTGTCCCCCAGGCCCTGCGGAGGCGGACTCCCCACCTCCTTCTGGCTTTCTGCCCATTTGTATCCTAAGTGATGCGCTTCCCAGCAAGGTTCCATTGCCTCAGCCGCCGAGTCTCCACAGTGCCTGGTACAGGTTGGGACCCACTTCATTCATTCTTTCCGCACATACCAACTGTGCCGGCTCTGTACAGGCACCATCCGAGGTGTGGGGAGCCAGGGCTGAAGGGCCGCGCTGCACTCGGTCCATCAACAAGAGCTGACTTTCTGATAAGGGAGTACGTGAAATAGATCAGCCCAGGGTGCTCAGTCAAGACCTGGGACGTGTCTCCTAGGTTATGGGTCCCTGAGGTGGCAGGCAGTTATCCCCCTGCCCAGGGCAATGTCCTGAGAGAGGCCAGTTTTCTTCTGCTCGACACCCTTTCTCCACCCTGATGTCAGGTCGTTGTGCAGGGACCCAAATGCCAGTGCAGGGTAGGGGACCCGTGCAGTCCTTCTGACCCTGTCACCCACCTCTACATCACCCCCACCCAGGGAAACCTACGGGACACAGCATCAGCCCTGTCCAGAGGGTAAGGAGGACAAAGCCTCTCCCCTGACCTGCCCAGGCAGCCCCTCCTGCCGCGCCCCTCTCCAGACCCCCGAGGGAGGCATCGCCTCCAGGAACCCCCTCATCCTCCCCACGCACACGGCTCCCCATTGGGCCAGCCCTGACCGACGATGGCCCCGATGGCCCTGTCTGGCCTCCAGAGTCCGACGGCCCTATGGGTACCAACCCGACCACACTCTCTGCCCGCGGCACGCGCGCTCGCTCGGGCGCTCGGGCACCCAGGGGGCGCTCGGATTGTTCGCGGGGCTAACCGCCATCCTCCTAACGTGCCCCGCCTTCCCCCTTCACTCCCACCCTCTTCTGAGTAACTCAGAGGGGGTGAAGCGGCTGTCTGCGCCCCACCCCGTCCTCCTGCCCGGGCAGTTCGTGGTCCCTGCACCTGCTGACCCCGCGCCTTCCTTCCTGACTTGGCTGGGGGCTTCTTGCAGGCCTAGCAGGTGGGCTTGGGGAGGGCGAGCACGTGGGCGTAGGCGGGGCGGAGCGAGGAGCGCAGAATGGGGCGGACCGAGCAGATGGGGCGGGCGGGGCCAAGAAGGTGAAGGCTAAAGGGGCGGACCCAACAGGTGGGCGCCGACGGGGGAGGACCGACCAAGCAGGTGAGCGCAGTCAGGGCTCAGCGTACCGCGCTCCGTGCGCCGACGTTGGTTGGGGGCGGGGCGTCCGGCTCGGGGCGGGGCTCGCCAACCCCCGGGACCCGCCCGCGGCCACCGCCCCCTCCCGGCCCCGCCCCCCACGCCCTGGCGGGGCGGGCAGCGGACCCGCGGCCCGGCTGGCAGCAGCGGCCGCCCGCACTGCGCCCCGGCGGCCGACTTCGCCGCAGCTCTTCGTGCCGCTGCCCGGCCGGCCCCCGCGGGCCCTGCCTGGCCATGGCCGCGGCCACCTCCCCTCCCAGGGCCGAGAGAAAGCGCTGGGGCGGGGGCCGCCTGCCGGGCGCCCGGCGGGGCAGCGCGGGCCTGGCCAAGAAGTGCCCCTTCTCGCTGGAGCTGGCTGAGGGCGGCCCGGCGGGCGGCGCGCTCTACGCGCCCATCGCTCCGCCAGGCGCCCCGGGGCCCGCGTCCCCCGCCGCGCCCGCCGCGCCTCCCGCCACCGCCGACCTTGGCCCGCGGCCGCCGGTGAGCCTCGACCCGCGCGTCTCCATCTACAGCGCGCGCCGCCCGCTGCTCGCGCGCACTCACATCCAGGGCCGCGTCTACAACTTCCTGGAGCGCCCCACCGGCTGGAAGTGCTTCGTCTACCACTTTGCCGTGTGAGTATCGCCGCCGGCGGGACTGGGAGCTTTGCGCGGGGCCGGGGAGGGCGTGGGGGGAGCGCTGTCCCTGTGCCACCTGCTGCCGCCCGAACCTGGTCGGAGCTGCGACTCAGATCAGCCGGGAGGTAAGGAAGGGGTTAATGGGAAGAACAGAAGCAGCGGGGAGCTTGTCTGTTGAAGTTCAGGGACGTGTGGGTCTGACCCCGTGGGGGTGGGAAGCTCCCCGCCGGCGCTGCCCAGGCATGAGTGGGGGGAGCCAGCTGGGAGGAGTGCTCTGCCCAAGCAGGCCCGCTCCTCCCTGGAGGGACGGTCCAGGTGTTAATTCTTCCGCGGGAGAACGGGGGCAGGGGAGAGAGTTCCCCGGGAGGGGCCCGGGAGGCAAAAGAGGGCAGGGCCCGGTGCCCCCGCTGGTGCAGCAACATCTCAGACCCTCCCCGGTCCAGGCGGGCCCTGTGGGGCGTCTCCAGGGCAAGCGGAGCAGGGTTGCCCCACAGGGTGGCAGGCCTTGTGGTGTAGCCTGAGGTGTCAGCATGGCCACGGGGAGTGCCCACGGCGCCGCAAGAACCCAACCAGGCTCTGGAAACCCTGCGTTGAAGCAGAGGAGCCTGGAGGGGACACACAGGGTGGTGGGGAGGAGAGAGGTCGGGCCTCTGATTCCATTGGTCGATCAGAGGAAGCTGTGCGCCAGGCGGAAAGCAGCGCCCTATAGGCAGCACCTGCCCCGCTGCTTCCCAGGTGGTTCTGATGCCAGCCGCCGCTGTGCGTGCCTGTGTGGGGCAGGGCAGGGCGCGCTGGGACGGGGCCACGTGGAGCCCTCCCCCACCGCTCGCGGCCCTGCTTCCCTGCTGCCTGGCCAGTGGGCTCTTGGTGTGGGGCCGGCCTCTGGCCTGTGAGCCTCGGCTTGGCCATCCCCGGGCTGACCTCGGAGGCTGCTCTGGGGGCTGCGCGGGTGACCTCCCTCTGGCTTCCCGATGGTAGGGGCAGGTGCTCGTCCCTGCCCCCTTGGCGGGCCTGGGGCTGGGAGAGACCTGGCTGGGGGTGTCCAGGGCCCTCTTTTGTCCCACTCCGGTAGCCACCACCGGAGCCCAGGGAGCAGAGGGGCTGGCTTGGAGCACGGTCTCAGCAGGTGCGGTGAGGTGGGGCGGCATGACCTCAGTTCCTCACCTTTGCTCCTCTGAGCACAGGTGGTACTAGGGTTGCTGCCCTCCCTGCGGAGGGGCAGTCCTTCCAGAGCAGGAGGGCAAGTGGTGGGGACAGTGTCCTCAAGCCTCTTCCCCCCACCTCCACCCAGTCCCCGCCTGCCGAGGTGTCAGAGGGAGCTTAGCTGTGGCCATGGCTGGTCTGCGGGAGAAGGCGGCCTTGCCTGTGGCTTGTCTTGCGGTTTGGGGGAATGTTTGTGTGCACTGACCCTGAGGGATCCTGACCTGGTCTGACTCCGGCTGTTCGAGCGCCCGGCCAACAGCTGGCTCGTGGGTGCTGCTGTGCACGTGGGCTGCCTGCCCCCCAGCCCTCACCTGCTGGACCCCAAGCTCCCGGAGGTGGCCAGGGGCGGGACGGACCCCACAGCCGGTCCTGGAGCAGACCCTGCCCAGCCGCCTCTCTGTCCTGGAACCCTATGTGCCAAGCTCTGGGCAGAGGATCGCCAGGCAGTGCAGCAGTGCCTCCGCACCCCTAGGGCTGCCGAGGCGAGAGGCCTGCAGACACCCCACTGGTTCGCGTCCCGGGGTGGTGGGTGCGCGCGTTGCCCGGGCCCCCGGGTGCTGCCGTGCCTGGTGGAGGAAGAGGCTTGCTGCTCCCCGGAGGAAGTCTCTGCTTACCCTTGTGTTTTCTTCCTGATTCTGATTGTTTAGCTCTCGGAAGTTGCTCAGCAGAGTCTGCCTTGCCCAGCCTCCCCAGGAGCTGTAGGGCACGGGTGGCTTCTGGGGACAGTAGCTGAGTGGCTTCCCCTCGGGGGCAGGAGCTGGGAATGGGGGCCCTCCAAGGGTGGCTTGGTGACCTTGGGTCAGTCTTTTCCCGCTCTCATCCCCGTCTGTAAGAGGTGTGCCACAGTCCTCTGTGCAGGGTGGGTCTGCAGGTGGACCCTGGCTAGGCAGGGCACGTGGCTTCCCTGGGGCCCGGGAAGGTGCCCCCTCACCTCCAGGAGGTTGGCAGGGCCCCAGACGCTCTCTGAATTGGCCAGTGTCTCCAGGGGACCTGGGCTCAAGCTGGGATTGCAGGGGCAACCTGGGACTGAGTGACCAGAGCCCGGCCGCAGCGCTGAGAAAAGGGGTGGACAGTGCCCACCCTGGCCCCGGTGTCGTTCTGAGAAGCGTCCAAGATGGTAGCAGAGAGAGAGCTCTGTCCTTGGTGAGGCAGATGGTGAAACGTGCGGGTTGATTGTTACGACCCAGGCTGAGCTCGGTTTCCGGCCTGGGAAGGATGAGCCCGGCCTTGAAGGGCTGGGGCCTGGGTGGGTGTGGGAGCCGCTGTCCTGCGGGCCCTGCAGGGCTGGGCACACTGTCCCAGGCGCAGCTGGGGAAGCAGGCCAGGATATCCTGTCCCCCTCCTGGTCGGGGAACCCCTGCTCTGGCCAAGAGGAGAGCGGCCTTTCCTGTGCGCGGCCGCCTGCCCCGTCTGCCGGGGTCAGGGGGCGGGAGGCTGCCCCCCCCCCGCCCGGCACTGCCCCTGGCCCCCAGCCCTCAGCTGAGACTCTTCACATCCCCACCGTGCGGCGGCCCCCACTCTGGCTGAGGGCGAGGGAGGCCTGGCCTCCATGCTGATGGGCCTTGGCCGGGGTTGTCTGGTTGGGGAGATGCCTGGACTGGAGAGGGGCCCGGGGGCCCCGTAGCAGCCCGCCCTGGCCACTGGGCTGGGCCTCCACAGCCTCCGTCTGTAGAGGCCAGGATGGAGGCTGCCCCCGGCTTCCGCGTCCCTCCTGCCAGGTGGGGGGCTTCCAGTCACAGGAGCCCGGAGGAACCCCCTCCTCCCTCCTTGTCCCTCTCTCTTCTCTCTCCCTCTTCCCCCCGACCTCTCGGGAGCTGCAGGGTGACACATGCAGACTCCTGTCTTCTTCCAGCTGCTCCCACCCACGCAGCCTGGCAGAAGCCCCCGTGCCTCAGTTTCCTCATGCGGGGACAGGTGCCCCTCACCCCCTCCGTCAGCATCCCCGCTGGTTGGGAGAGGCTTGGAGATTGTGGGGGGCTGTGGGGAGGTTTGGGGGAGGGCCCCGGAGTGCGTCCTGTCCCTGCCCTCCCGCCACCCCGCCTTTCCCAGGCTCCCGAGAACCTTCCGGTGGCTTTGGCGGCACCTTCAAGCGGGTGTTAATAATTGATGGCGCTGGCAGTGTTCCCTGGCGGTTTGCTGGGCCGAGCCCGCCCGCCTTTCTGAAAGTGGAGGCCAGTTCCCTGGTCGCATCCCCCCACCCTGGCCCCTGGTGCCCGTCCCACCCCAGGCAGACCCGCCCAGAAGGGGAGCTGGTCAGGGAGGGCGGAGGGGGCCAGGCTCTGGTCTCCCCACCGTCCCCTTTGAGACGCCCCCAGTTCCCAGTAGAGCTGGGGGAATTCCTTCTGGACCTTCTCCCTGTGTCACCTTCTCCAGGGCCTGGTCCTCTGGTCTCCCCCGGCTGTCTAGAGACCCCTCACTACCGCCCCAGACCCAGCCCGCTGTGTGTTGAGCGCCTCATCGTGGTCTGGCACTAGTTGGGGGACCACAGGTGTCCCTTATGCCGGGGCCACCAGCTGGGGAGGGGGGGGGGCCCGGGAGACCTTGAGGCTCCAAGGGAGGTGGTGGGAGGGGAGGGATGGTCCAGGGGCTGGGAGCGGGGGCCAGTGAGTGGCTGGGTGGGCGGGGCCAGCGAGCGCCGAGGTCTGGGGCCTGGAGGCTGCCTGGCGCGGGATGCGGAGTGAGCCAGGCTGTGTGGGAGCTCGGCCCTGGGCAGCGTCCAGGCTTCGTGCCTCAGCGTCGCCCCGTGGCCGGGCCGCCTCCCTGAGCCCGCATCCCCTCCTCTGTGGCAGGCTTGGTGGGTGTGGCACCTGCCAGCAGGCTTGCTCAGGTGGGAGGTGATGCTCACCCGTGCCTGGTTCTGAATCGTCGTCTCCCCTTGGGCTCGGTGCCCGTGGCCTCCGCTTGCACCCGTGGGGGTACCGAGGGCTGCAGGGGTGGGAGGGGCCCATTTGCACTCACAGCCCCCACACCCTGGGACCTTCCCGCAGCAGGGTCTCGTGGGCCTGGGGCGGGGGCTTTGTCCCGGGGAGGCAGACACGGGAGCAGCTGAGGCTGGCCTGGAGCACCGCGCCCACCGGGGGGTCCCGGCTCCGCCCGGGGTGTCCGATTCCGATGCCCCGGCTTCTGAAGGTGTCAGGGGCTCGGGCTCATCCTTCTCCTGCAAAAGCCGGTTCCCAGGTTGACTCTTCTGGTGTGAACGGGGCTTTGCAGGCCAGTGTGTCCTGGGGATGCTGCTGAAAGGCAGGTGTGTCCGGCGGGTTAGGAGCCCGGGTCCTGGTTTCTCACCAGCGCCTGGTGCTGTGCGCGGAATGAGGTGGTGCTCCTGAGGGGGGCCCTGGGCTGAGCCCTCCCTGCCTCCTGGTCTGGGCCATGGACCCAGGTAAACTGAGGCCCTTCTCAGACCGATGTTCTAAACCCGCTTTCAGTTCGTGTGGCATTTCTCATGGCTCAAGGCCCTGCCCACGGGTGAGATGGACGGGCTGGGACGGTGTCACGTGTGGGTCCTATGAAGTGGAGACGGTGTCCGAGGACGCCAGTGTGCAGGGAGAAGGTGCTGGGCCTGGAGGAACGGGGGCCGCGAACCTGAGGCCAGACGAGGGGTTCACTTGCTGCTGGGAAACACCACGGACGCTCGCGGGTGCTGCTTGGTGCCTGGGCTCTGCTGCGGGGGGAAGAATGAAGAGGACCTTTGTCACCTGGACCCTTCACCTCGGACTCTGTGGATCCAGGCCTGGATGGAGGGTCCAGCGGGCCGGCTTCACTCTCCCTGGGGAGGCACCTTGGAGCAAGGGGCA